TGCCGCAAACCACAAAACGCGCAAAGCCATCATTTAAATAGGGCGTCTCCAACAGTTTTGCACCTGCCACCAGTTACGCAATCGCTCTTGTTAAATCACCCGCAAACCATGGTTCAGCCCCTCGCACAAAATTCCGGTTTGCGAGCGCAAATTACTGCACGCAAAATTGGATCTTGATAAATCTGGCCCAATGTATATAATTAGGGGGTCCCCGCTTTATCTCGCCATCAGTTTGGGGGTCCTTGGCCTGGAAAACGTTGAAGACTTCTGCATTATAGCCAGACTCAACACTTTCAGCTAGATTTTTGTTTTCACGGTGGAGTTTGCCCTCTTAACACGGTTTACCATTTTTATACCTCCCTTTTTGACCTTTTACATGTTCACATTCATTCATACCATTTGGCTCGTATAGAGAGGTTTATGACAGCCTATTAAAAAATCAACAGTAGTTCTGATAACATTACAGCACACAGAGTTCTGGAATCAGAAAAGCATCAGAATCAGCAGATAAACAAATTAAAGTATCTGAATCGGATTGAAAGTGGAAAAAAGTTCAAATCAGTGCATCAACATGAAAATTATTTGGTGGAACACAAACTGTTCTAATTCCTTAGCCAGAATAAATCTGTTTTCCTGTCTTTTGGTTGCACTTGTGTAAAGCTAAGATTTATGTCCATGTTAAATCAAATGGATACTTGAACAGAGCGCAGTGAGATTTATAAACCATGGATATTAAAACCTCTCCACCATGTTCTCCCTGACCCGTCTGCTGTGTTCTCTGGTCTCCATTATGCATCTATCTATAAAACTAAAAAAATAAAAATCAGTTAAAGAAAAATTGTCTAACGCTACGTCCAATCTATTCACTCAAAATGTGAAGGGCACGGCCCGCCAATGTCCGCCTTGATGAAGGGACTGCCATGATGCTGCTTCAGCAACACAGAACAGCTTCTTTCAAACTGACAAAATCAGGCTGTTTTTACTTAATACTTCCGAGGGAAGTAGCTTTCCTTAGATTTAATTTAAAGTTACAGAGACAAGCTGGTGCAACACTTGTTAGACATTTATTTGGAAATAATATTGAATCCCATTTTATAGTCCCGCATTATACTTTGTTGATTTAATGTGTCGAAAATGTGAAGAAGCAGTATTTAACCCATGCACGTTCTTCTCCCTGCAGGTCGGAAAGGCAGTAGATATGCATTCACACTCTACTCCAGTGTTTTTCGCTCTCGGTGGCAACCTGCCCTAGCAGCGTCTGCAGCCAGTTAGTCTTCTTCCAGCATAATGTGAATCTAAACCCCAACTAACATAGATCAGAGCTCGTTCGATCAGGGAGGGGGCTTGGAAGAACAGGTCCATCCCATATGAGATCCCCCTCTCCTCTTATAGCCACAAGGATGCATTCCACGCCCCCTCTTCTCTTCTCCCCGCCAGCATCAGCGCCTCTGCAGCCCAGCCACATATCTCACATCAAACTGCAAAAAAAAGAAAACCTCCAACGCGAACCTTTGGACTCTCATGCAGGTTTTTATAGCTAAAACTCTGAAGTGGTCAAAAGGGAGTTCTGATTTTTTTTTTAATTATTATTATTTGGAGGAAACATATGATGTTGAATGCATGTGAGTGTGTGTATATAAATATATAAATATATATATAGATATATGAAGTAATGCTAGCTTGATCTACCTGCTGTGACAGATGCAAAGTCAATAAAAGGCACACGTCCAAAGGAACTTAAAAAAAAAAGAGTAATAATCTGCAATGCTGAATTACCAGTGACCATCTCATAAATGTGAAGAAGAAGAAAAAAAAAAGAATTCCTGCAAAAACGTGCCTGCGTATTCTACGCAGAGTCCACCATTTTCACCGCTTTAGGTATGTAACGCTAGGTTTTTATTCTTTCTTTAACTGATGCAGCATCTCTTAGTATTTTTTTTGTATTTTAGGGGGAAAAAAAAGAGTTGGGATCTTTTAGTTTGTGCCTCTGACTGACAGCCATTCCGCAACTTTACCAGCCTGAGTGTTTCATTTTTTTTGTGTTATGTTTTTTAGGAAATGTTTCTGTCTAAAAGACTTTGGGATCTTTATTTTGGCCAGAAGTGTTTGTTAATAAAGAACAAAGAAGTTGGGGATAGTTTGCACCCGTTGGATGAGAGGGGATGAGTGGGACCAGTGTGTGCGCGCATAAGGAACGGTCTTAACATTGGAAAAACAAAAAGCGGTGCCATGTATAGTTCAACATGTTTAACTGTTTAAGCGTCCATGTCATAATGGCTTTTTTTTCTTGAGGGGTGGAGGGTAGCTCTGACACTACAGCATTAAATCACTGCTAACTGTGGCTATGTTAGGAAAGCATCATATTGTTCAAGTCCAGTTGTGAATAGCACTACTGAATGAAGGCACTAAGTGAAAAAGCTGAAGCCTTTTTACCCGCTGACATCGCTCGCTGTCTTACCTCAAAGTAAACCCACCAGTATCACTGTTTCAGACATGCTTTTCTATGTTGCCTCAGTCACCTCGGTTAAATAATCTGTTTTGTAAATGTTATTTTTGTGATTTTGGTTCATGTTTTGTACTCTAAAAAATAAAAACCAGCTATAAGGGAAAACCACTCTATGCCTCCTTTGTTACACTTTTTCATTTTCGCTCTTTCACATCAGCACATTCTGGCTCTAGCTAAGAGTTAAGAAAAATGCAACTTTTGTTGAAGTGTCA